GCACTCTATAATACCGAGGTCTCTTGTTCTTCTTTGTTTGGCATTTGCTATACGACAGATGTCTTTCTACCCTTCCTTTGTGGTGAGTTTTTCGTATAAGCCTTTGCTCGTTGTAAACTTTCTTTGCATCCCTCTTTGATGTGGCACATTTTACTCTGTCATTCACGCTGTTTCACAGCTGCCATTTCCTGGACAGCTCTTTCTTCTGTCTTAGAGTCGCCTCGTTTCTTTCGAGATATATGTTGTATCTTTTGTTTATTCCACTAGGCCTCTGACATTTCCTACGACTGTGTTGGCCATCTGCTCCCATATTTCCTCGCCATTTTTCTCATAACTTCCATTTTTAATGCTTCTTTCAGCTTCCCTTCGAGCTTTAACTACTATATCTTCGGGGCTATCGTCATGAATGGGCTGTTTCAGAGACAGGTCTAGGACCAGTGACCAGTGCCGGCTTGTGACAGTTTTCCCGGGGATAACCTTGCCATCTCTGAAGTTCTTAAGTTCGTCCCATAGGAGCAGAGAGTAGTCGATCTGATTTTTCTTCTGTCCGCTCTTGCAGGTTTAGGTTATCAGGTGGTTTTCTCATTTTCTGGAAGATCGGGTTTATCAGAGACAGATCATATGCAACTGCCACCTGAAAGATGATCTCTTTTTCTTTATTTAACATACCATCTCTATATCCGCTATCGATCCTGTCGTAACCCCTTCGATGTTTCCCGACGTGCCCATTAAGGTCACTGCCGATTATCACTTTTTCGTTTCGCGGTATGTTTTGCAGTGCAGTATCTAGCCTCTCTCAGAATATGTTCGGCTGCACTCTAGCCGGTCTGGGGACGTAGGCACTTATTATATTTAAGATACTACATTCTAAGGTCATTGTTCATCCTGATGGTAAATAATGAGATGAAACAACCGTAACATTAACGCTGAAAAATAACAGTAACAATGCAAATGTAGCTATGACAAATTATGATATATAACCAGTTTGAATCGAGGAAGTTAATCGTATCCCAAACCAGAGGGATTCCAAGCAACTGACGCTGCCATTGCATAACACGGTTTTGTTCTTAGATACCCTTTTTTAATTTGTTACTTCTGAAAGCATACAAGGTATATGGAAGAAGTAATACATAATCCAAGTGATTTGTTGAATCAGTTATTATATAACTATTACAGACAACATTTTAAAAGCGGCTCGCTGCCAGTCACTGCTTTTCGCATAATCACTTTAGGTAAATAAACAGTAAACAATTATTTAGCATTTGCTATTTGGTACCTTTTGGAAGCAGTTCAACCTCAAGCTCTTCCTTTTCAGTGGCAGAATCATCGCTATTGGAATCAGTAGACGGACTTGTAGGACCTATTACAGAAAGGAATCAAAATCAGATATGAACATCGACTGTAGTTAATTATTTGTCTATCGACATATTAACATCGACACATCATATTTACTACTTACGTACATTTTTCCACCGATTCACAATACACGATTCATTTTCGGTGAGAACACCAAGCAAAACAAAGCAGTGATACAGAATAACCTCGGGTTTGCTAACTAACCAAGATTCTAAGGTTCGCACAGCGTAGTCCAGAAGTGGCAGGAGAAAGCTGTTCTTACCAGCGTCATCGAAAACTAACAGTTTGCTAGTAAACCTATAACACCAGGGTTAATAATTATTGTACATTCCAACGGATCGAGGAACGTTCGTTGCTGTTCCAAGAGGATTTTGTTTTATCCATCTTACAAAGTTGTTCGCTTTTGTGCCTATGCAATGCAGTTGCTAAAACACACTGAAGCGTGACCAGCATAAATGGTTCCCCCTATGCTATTAGAGGCCGAGAGATGATGTGATTATGCCGTACTAATCCGTGCCAAAATACTACTAGTGCAGGAGATACAGCATATCATTCTCTTGAATTTTTAAATAATATTTTCCTCTAGTAAAAATTATTCATATACATCCCATGAGGAGTTCAAAGTCTACAGAACTATACAGAGCATTGACAGGATCAAGGATCCACGGCGATGCATTGATTTACTTTTTTTACAAACAAGTTCCTTATGTACAGTCTTCACTGTATCCAGCCTTACCCTTTCGGAATCTTTGAAAGCTGTCTTTATTTGGTACGACGCTCGTCGTTGAGTACGTCTTGCTGTCTGCATCGACGAAAGACGACGCTGTGGTGGTGGACCGTGAGAACGACTTTCGAGATGCAATGGAGGAAGTCGTTGGTTGGTCGACCTGAAAATACTTCTTGTTTTCCCGAGCAGGTAGAGCGACTTCGGCCGCACTGTCGCAAAAGTCGCGCTGATTTGCGGCGGCTGAACCTCGGGACTCTTCCTCGGCGCTTTTCTCTTTCAACTCGTCTTCCGTCAATGCCGGCGCTTGCATCGGACTATCTCGATGGTGACGGACCAATGTACTCAGTGGCTGATTGTCTTCCTGATCAACAAATGTTTCAGAAGAACGTGTTTTCTCGACCTTGAAAGAACGCGTATTTCCTGAGATGCGACTTGAGCTTGACTGTGGTTCCATCATTGTTTCAGTAACCTCGTACTCCGGGTTGGTTTCAGATTCCTCTGATTTTTGCCCCTTTTCCGACTGTAACCGATCATCCGTTTCGCCCAGTCCTTCGTTTTCGATAGCTTCTCCATCGTCTTCTACAAAAAGCAATAAATCACCTCAACATACGACACGAAACTACGCAAAGTTTCAAAAGAAAATAAACTGAGAAAGATTCTCAGTAATCCCAGAACTTGTTTTAAGAACTAAACACAACTCTACAAAAATTTTATCGCACTTTCAAGCTTATAAGATTATGTTTCCTAGCTAATGAGATTACAGACTGACAAAATGTGAAGCAAGGACATAGCGCCTCATTTATTTATTATAAAGTTTCAACTACGGCGGTTAACAGAAGTTTCTCGTCCTAACAATCTTGTTCCTACGCAAAGCTATTTCATACAAATGCTCAGTATCAACCCCAATGGGCTATATTTTAAGATGCAATGTCAAGGTTCACTCTAACGATTTCAACTGGCTGTTCATCTGACTTTTCTGTCATGGAGTCTGCTAGTTGTTACCTGTCAATGATAACTGTAGTACATCAGTTGCGATTCAAAGCAAAGACATTACCCACTGCTACTGTCAAGCAGGGTCACCTCAGCAATCATTCGAAAGAATCTCGTTTCCATCGCTTGAACTGGGTCACTTTTATCGAGAAACATCTTATGCCTTCTGATACAAGTTTGCATTCTTTGACTACAGACCCAAACAGAAAGTTTATCAGCCATGATCCTCATTTATACAACCCAAAAACTGTGACCATCACACAATCCATCCCCTGAAAATGCATGCACTGAGTAAAATCGCATTTTTCGAGACTAAACAAACATAAGGAAAAGTATGCGAAAAGCTGCGAAAAATGAAGGTTCAATTTCAACTTACCACGAGCTGGAGGATCAGTAGATTTTAGCAATTTTATGAGGTCATTGAAGTAATTGACCGAGATCCACTCTTGTCCAGCATGCATACCAGTCTCTTCCTCGTAACCGGAATTTTTGTAATAATCCCATGCTTCACGAAATACTTCGTTGCCCTAACAAAAATTACCTTGATAATGTTCTAATACTCATAAAGATATAATCAACAACAGTAATAGCCTACATGATAACAGAACGATTGAACACCACGGAGCCAAGTCTGGCTTTCACCTAACTGTCACCACGTCAACCATGCCTTTGGTGGCGGTTCAGTGCTTATGAGGTAGCCGTTGAACTCCCGAAGTGCTGAGATCGATTATTCCCAAGGGACAATCTTTATCTCAAGAGTGAATGCCCTTGAGCAAGTTATTAACTCCATGATCAAAAAGTCTCCTACCTGCGAATAACAGCGATAGCTTTGTATTCCGGTCTAGTCATGCCAGAATGTAGGAGGTGTTTGGCCATACTGTTCAACGTGACCAAGCCTTGTGGCTGGACACTGCTTTGACCAATCTGATAGCTGACCTGACTACCTAATGTAATAACCAAGGTAACCCAGATTTCTTTCCGCCCCGCTTTTAGTCTCCATGGATCCAAGAGAGCCACAGAAGCAGAAGGAAGCAACTCACTGTGATCAACCTCAGTTCGCTTTGCCGCGGACGATGACAAACCTTGTTTTTCTATCACTGTTTCTGTGCTATGAAACTGCCATGTTACGCTGATATAAACCATTTCATGAACGCAAATAAACTAGTCTTTTCACCCTACTCTTTCTTCCTCGTCCATCATCTTTTCCTTTGCTTCCTCTGTTATATACTTATCCTGCTCTTCCTTCGCCTCAATTTTCCTTCTTCTTCCTCGTCTGATCGGAGTCGTTCAGAGCGTCGATCACAAAGAGAAATTCAAAGTTCGAGTCCCTGTTTGGGTTACCCGCCTTTCTTTCTTCTGAGGTTGATAAATAAGTACCACCTTGTGGTAAGGAAACAGGCTGCAGATTCTGTCTTTGAAAATAAGGTAATCAAAGCGGATATCATAAAAATGGAGATCAGCACCATCATATCAACTTCATGAAAACAATGGCGACAAAATAACCTTATCCTGAATATGTAATGAAGACGGACGTTAAAACGGCTACAAACTTTCCTTTTCTTTCCTCTTCTTGTTCCTTCGTTTCCGCCTTCCAATATGTTAATTCTAGTCCAAACAATCCTCATATTGCTTCATATATAAGGCTACGTTGAAAACATAACAACTGTTATTCGAAATATTGCCTGCTGCACCATCTGCCAGGTAAAATGCCGAAAACAAATTCCAGACTAATTCATCTCACTGAATCAAGAACTGAAGTACTTTCATAGGCCGCTGAACAGCTGCCATGCATGGCATTTGCGTAATTCGTTGTTGTTCTTCTGTCAGCGTCGTCTGAGACGAACAGAGTTTAAACAGCACGGTAACCCAGACATATGATATTTAACCATTAGAAATGAATCTTCAGACCGGTTCAACCATATGTAAATTAGCAAAATAAACCTACCTCTTCTTTCATTCTAAGGCCGTATTTGTAGTAGTAAGGATTTTTGCGATTGAACTTTAAGCAATTCGATATCATGAGCATGAAGTCTTGCTCTAAGCTGACCAAACTGCGGCACTCGAAGTTCAGGATCTTTTCGCGCATCGCGGCAAGGTCTATAGGCTTTTTGATTATGCGATGGTAGCCAGGCACTTCCTGCTCGAGGACAGGTTGAGCAAAGACGTTGAGGTCGTCCTTCTTCGCAAGACTGTCTACCACGTTCAACAAAAACTCCGTGCGAGGACGAACCACCAAATCGATGACTCGCATGGCGCTGCTAATCTAAACGTAGATTCACTTTCGAAATGACAAGAAGCGGCAAGAAGTAAATGAGGCATCGAATAAGTTTAAAAAGAATAAACCACAGTTCATGCAGTGACTCTTCACTGGATTTCGCTTGAATGAATCTAAACCTACGAAATGAAACTACACGATACGGAATAAGAAGAACCAAAAACTAATGGATCTATCATCACATCTTTTGTATGTCAATTACAGTCCAGTCACCTCACTTCAAACCGTCAGATGTTTAGGCTTTATTCGTGTAAAATTATGTGTAATCAGATATTGTCGGGCTTTATTTTCTATAAAGCGACACAGAAACTTTCACGTCTCGTACGATGCTGAGAGAAAATTGGCATCATGCATTCGACCACCTTCTACATATGAATCAGAACTCATCATTTCTGGCCGGCAAGCATGCGACTTCGAGACCCTAAGACGAACATAGAGAAGTTTCTAAAATTTGACTTTCACACAAAGATCCGCTGAAACATGTGGTTAATTTAGCAATTGTTTACGCCACTCGCTTGTAGTAGAAACACAATGCAAACTGGGACTCATTCACAATATGATACATATGAAACACTAACTGTGTTTACTGAGGTCACCCCCTTGAGCCGTTTGCATCAACAGAATATCGTTCGTTTGTCTTGGCCACTGAATTCACTTCTGCTACAAAATATCAGTTATTGCACTGCAGATAGAAATAATTTTCTCTGAAAGCAGTTATACTTTTAGAATGTCATCCAAATTACAAGCTAGCCTCTGGGTCGACGTCTGCCGTGTTTCGACTCCCACAGGAAAAGCTCATAGTCTGAAGTAAATGGTTTGTGCTCGCTCAGTTTGTCTAAATAGTTCAACCTCCCTTTATTAATCTTCACATCTACTAAGGTGTGAACGAGGTCATTCCTTACGTGTACCTGCTATTTAATCGGCATTATGCCTCAAAGCTAACGCTGATATACCAAATTTAACGTTCGCATTTTGCTTTTTCGTTAGAACAGCTGTCACCATGCTGTACAACTGCACGACAACAGTACTGAACTCAGAGAGGCAATGTATACAGGCGGATGTTTGTGGAAAGAGATCTTACTCAGACCAAAGATCAGAGGGGTTTCCAAAAGCACTAAATTCTGGGGGTGATCGCTCGATTTAGCGCTGGCTGGATGTTACCGAGATGATACTTAAAATGGTCAACGTACTGAAGCTTTTTACACCCCTGTTTCAATTGCAGACCAGCTGCGTCGGATTGATTATAGTATTTTTGAACTTTTGAGCATCAAGAAAGAGGCCGACTATGGCAGCTAAGTTAAATGGGGAAGCCACCAATTAACAGAGCCCGCTCCCAGTGGCCAGGAAAAAATTCTCTGTGTACTCCGGGTCAGGAAAACATCTAGGCGGATGTATCAAACTTTCACAATGCTCGTTACGAATTTCAGCAACTAGATCCATGTACGTCAGTGTGTCCGCCAGAACAAAGCTGTACCTATTAAATCCAACTTCAGCACGAGTACTAGAGATATTAAATAGCACTACTTTAATTTGCTAATTGTGATATAGTTCTCTGTCAGTTTGTCTCAAATAATCGTTCTTCCTAGCTCAGTACTGATTTTATCGGCTGTTCGATTGTTGCCTGATGCTTTTTGCTAGCTGCAAGCATTAAAGTTCTGACCCGTGATAACAGCCAGTTGTTTTCAATTTCTTTTTTTTGTTTTGTCGAAAAACTAAGTTTCGATTCCTCTGAAGCAGTAAGCCTTCATCTGATGTTTCTAATTCGAAAACAAAACCAACTTCAAAACTTGCACACTGTTCCTAAGACATTACGAGACTGCTTTGTACAGCAGTTATTCTATTCGAATGTTTAACTTCGCACTCAACAACTACGCCTGAGAGACCGGGAAATTAAATCGCGCCATGGACACTCTTCGTCATCGGTCTCACACACAGGCAAACGAGAACTACGAATACTACTTCATGGAAAATAAAGCAGAGACTAAACTTCAGTGCTTTCCTCAGCTGTAGATACTGCCTTCAGTAAAAATAGAACACACTTGATTGATTACCTAAAAACGAAAACAACGCCTACCACAAGTTAAACGGAAAGTAATGAAAGTGTGCAATAATAGGAATTGACAAGTTCCAGCACACTTCAGCTACTGGCGACATTCGTAGCACTTTTGTCTTACAGAGATAATCCCCCGTTATGGCCCATCAATCAAGGCTAAAGGCAAAATCCATAGCTAGGTGGCAGCTACAGAGCACAATTCATTCAACTATCCTTAAAGGATGAAAGGTGAACGACCAACCAGGGATTCCAGTCCATAATCTTTTGACTGAGAGTTTAATACTCCACCGACTAAGCCATCTTGACGTTTTACATAGTTGGAAAGGTGCCACCAATGAATGCCACGTGAAAAAAGGTGCGAAGAACACTAGCATCCTAATGATTGCAAAGCTCGATCTGTCTTCATTGTTTTTCGACGGCCGCACTTCGAACAGGGTTGGACAGTTCCGCCTGTGCATCGGTTGATCCGTTTCTACGCACTTTCAAAAATCATATTTTCTGAAGAAAACTGAAGCATTTTACTGGGCAGGAAGGACAGTCGAATTCCGCGGCTGATCTTAAGAGCATGTTTCGAACGCTTCATCCGACTTGCACTCCTCCTCCCTGAGTACCTAACTTCCATACCTCTGCTTGCCATGGACTAGATGTGATTTGAAAAGTCGCACTTGGATGAAGTTCGAACGCTAACTATCCCGTTCATGAAAAAAATAGGCATTTTTTGAAAGATATTTCGATTATGGTCCCATAATTGGTCAGAGATATTTTTCGGATGCGTAGTTAGGACGCTGAATGAGAAAAGATGGTAAAACTTTTATTTACATTACGCATGCTTCGCTTCCGATATGAACAATGTCTTCTGGACAGAATAAGACAAAATGGAATGGCAGTTCAACGCCGCAGTGAAAGACTAAGGTTATGAATAGCCCGACAGCTGCACTTCGCTCAGTTCGTGAAGCCAATTATGCATATAAGATTACCGACTACATCTCAGCTTCACGTTTTCCAAAGGACGATAAGAATTCTTTGAACATTTGATGTTTCCTTCCCAAAATATGAAGAAACTATTGTATCGGAACCTGGCCGTGGTGCTGCCTCAGAAATTACCAAAATACCTATTCGCAGAAGTCATATTCCTGTACAATGGCTGAATATTCGAGTGCATTAAAAATGACAATTGCGGATCACGTACAGGTATTCCTTAATTACGATCTTAATCCATCTTTACGTCTTACCCTTATAAATATTATGGCACCCATTGCAGCTAACATTTTTAAACTACGTTGACGGCTTCTGTTGAATTGGTAAGGAGAAACTTGCTGAATGAAAGTACTGCCAGTGTCATCCTGTTTTGCAACAGATCATAAACAGCGTTTTCATTCAGTATTTATTGAGTACATTTGAAATCTGTGGATAAAACGAGGAAGAAATAACTGGTTTCTTTCCGGCTGGTTTCGTTACATTAAAGGGTTTATGATGCAAGGGTTCACTATTTAACATTCTTTGAAAACAGAACTACGATGCTTCCATGAATAATCCGCTCCGTATCCCTAACTACATAAAACTAAAACTTCTAGTTATACTAGAAAA